GATTCAACGACAAGAAACGTGTAAAGAAAGCGTCAATCAATCATACATTTATGCGTGTCAAAATAACACTCGGATTTGTGTTGTATCGCGATTATACCTAGGAATCAATTTTATGCCGTGTATCGTTGGTGCACCATTGACAACGATGGTCCTCTTTTCGCAATTGTACGATACAGAATTTCCAGTTTCTTCTGTCGTTAATATACCATTGACAAGAATTACGATATAAGACAACAATTTATGCACGATATATGATAAAAATATTTGGTCCATGATACAGCTTGCAAATGAAATATGAACGATACAGAGAAATATTAACTGAAAATATTAACACTGAGTCTAATTCATCAAGGTTTATGGTTAACTTAAACAAAATTGTGCTATTTTCAATCGAAATTTCTTAATCGTTCTCTCTCTCTCTCTCTCTCTCTCATTTCGTCAGAAAATTGGTTCATTCAACCAAACATATTTTCCGTGTAGACTTGAATAAAACGATAGGACACGATGAGTCTCTACGCGAATTCATACTCTAACAATATCTAACGATATCATACTCTAACAATTAAATATTCTCCTAACGATAGAGTACAATAGAGTACGATGAAAAGTGTTCATCGTACTCTGTCTTTACGCGATATCATTTCTTTCGGATCCGATGCAGCAAAACGATAGATTGCGATAGAAAACAATGAGAATTTCTGTAGATCTCATCGCTCTCTATTGCTTTCTCCTTTTCGATGTTTTCCTTGATCAAAGAACTTTTGAACCTTGAACTTTATAATTCAATATGAGCTGTCTGTGGTACCTCATAAAATAATCTCGTAATTGTAATCGCGAATATTCAGCGGCCATTTCGGCGCGAGCATAGACGCGGTGCGGCGGGATGTAGGAGCGGCGAGGTAAGGACATAAACATTGGCGCGTTGTCCTTCCCCTCGCCGCGCGCCGGCAACAGTTCCTTTGTCGACTGGGCAGTGCTCTCTAGCCTGAGCGGCTAGATGCTCCTCCCATAACGTTTCGGTGCGCGCTCATTCCTCTAATTTTTGTCATTAATAACTCGATAATTATTGCGAATCTCACAAAACGGTATGGGACTTTTATATTTGTCTTAACCCGCTCTATGTCTCCACGAGCTCTGCCAGGTTAGTTATGAGACACCCTGTATAAAGTACCAAGACGGTGAAATATTTCGAAAATTAAGCATTTTAGAGAAAATTTTCAGACAGAAGTTATACGGTTTCAAGGAGAACATGAAACGACTATATCGTTTTGTTCACAGATGGCGCCACTTTTTACGTACGTGTGGGGACTTTGAGTTCCCCAACATCTGCGCATCTGTTCGCGCAGCGTTGAAGAGCGCGCGCAACCCTCTCGCGCTGTGCTATTCCTCATCCCTGTAGATTCCGAACTTTCCAACTGGTAGGACGTTACTTTTCTGTTCTCTATTTTTGACTGCGAGCAAGCGATAATTACATTGTGATAATTCTGTGTGTAACGAGAAACAAGTAAGTGCGTCGGCACTTTCTTGTCTAGTCTTATAAGTAGAAGTGTGATACGTGTGCCTCACACAGGTAAACTTTTGTACCACACGCACGCGGAAACGTTTGTGATTCACGTGCTCTGTGCACGTGGTTGATACAGGCACCTGCAGAATAAAGACTCTGTAATTTGTAGAGTGAACACGCGTAGGTTTATTTGGGAACCTAACCTCCACCCACGGGGGTAAAATCCTCATAAACATACGCATATTGCATTAGTATCACATCGTTATAAAAAAACGTAATGAAAAAATACACACTGCCCAATATTTTAATATCAGGTGTAGTAAAAAGAAATCCATTATTTTTGCATGAAATTGAAGGCTTTAATTATCATAGTTAGAATGATCCGATTTAGGTCAAATATGCGCCGTTTTGTTCGATAACTTCTTACCATTTTGAAGGTAATTTCATTATGCCTCTCTCATAGAAGCTCTCGTCCCTATTGGCAAAAAATTGAGACAGTCGATTTTCACAAGCCTCTCTTGAAGCGAATTTTTCACCAGCAAAATTGTTCGCCATGGACAGCAACAGATGGTAATCACTTGGTGCTAGGTCCGGACTATAAGGTGGATGCATAAGAACCTCCCAACCAAGCTCCCGGAGCTTCTGGCGAGGCACTATCGATGTGTGTGGCCTGATGGAACACAATTCCTCTCCTATTGGCCAAGGCTGGCCGCTTCTGGGCGATTGCTTCCTTCAGACGGTCCAATTGTTGACAGTACAGTTCCGAGTTAAGAGTTTTGCGTAGGGGAGCAGCTCATAGTAGATAATTCCCTGCCAATCCCACCAAACATACAGCAAAACCTTCCTGGCCGTCAATCCTGGCTTGGCCACCGTTTCCGCCGGCTCACCGCGATTCGACCACGACCGTTTTCGCTTGACGTTGTCGTAAGTGATCCACTTTTCATCACCAGTGACCAACCGCTTCAGAAATGGGTCGATTTTGTTGCGATTCAGCAGCGATTCGCAGATGGAAATTCGGTCCATGAGGTTTTTTTTCGTTACTCGTGTGGCACCCATATATCGAGCTTCTTTTTGTATCCAGCCTTATTCAAATGGTTCCAAACGGTTTTTTGTGCAATCTTTAGCTCTTGGGCAATCGAAACAGTGCTTACATGACGGTCGGACTCGACAATGTCCATGATTTTATCGATATTTTCGACAATTGGCCTTCCAGTGCGTGGTGCATCTTTGACATCGAAATTACCGGAACGGAATCGACGAAACCAAAATTGCGCGTGATTGGCTGTTACAGTATCAGGACCATAAACACTATTCACATTTTCAGCCGCCTGGCTTGCGTTTTCGCCTTTATCGAAGAAAAACTGTAAAATATAGCGTATTTTCTCTCACCAAATACACAGCATGAGTCAACTAATCACAAAACTGTCACAAAAGTTTTTTTAGTACGAAATCTCATCTTTCTAACGCCATCTAGTGGAACCCGATCGGACTTATACAACGCGAGATACAGATAATTAAAGCCATCTATTGGAAAAATAATGGATTTCTTTCTACTACACCTGATATATTAACATAATATTATGTTTAAATTAAACATATTAGGAGTACAAATAAGTTTCCGCTGTTTTCTATCAAAAATTAGGAATTTATTGTGAAAGAACGGTACATTACGTTTTATTCAAAGTATTATCCATCACTAGCCACTACTTTTTCCCATCTTTCTGGCAGCATTCGGATACCGCGTCGGAAGAACTCTTCATCTTTTGAGGCTATCCACGAATCGACCCAATTTTTAGTATCTTCATATGATGTAAAGCACTACTTAGAGAGGCCATGTGCCATCAACCGGAACAAGTGATAATCGGAAGGGGCAATGTCTGGTGAATACGGCGGGTGGGATAGGACTTCCCAATTAAGTGTTTCCAAATATGTTTTGACCGGTTTTGCAACATGTGGCCGAGCGGTGTCATGTAGGAGAATAATTTTGTCGTGTCTGGAGTAGTAATGGGCACGTTTTTCCTTGAGTGCTCGGCTCAATCTCATTAATTGTGTTCGGTAGAGAATTCCAGTATTGGTTTCGCTCGGTTTGAGCAACTCATAATACACGACACCAAGCTGATCCCACCAAATACACAGCATGAGTTTTTTCCATAAATATTCGGTTTGGCTGTCGATGTTGAAGCATGGCCAGGTGGTCCCCATGATTTTCTCTTCTTTGGGTTATTGTAGTGGATCCATTTTTCATCACCAGTGACTATACGATGCAAAAAACCCTTTCTTTTATGCCTAGCAAGCAGCATTTCACACGTGCAAAATCAGCATTCAACGTCTCTCGGCTTCAGTTCATACTCAATTTCCTTGTTTTTGAATCATTCCCAACGATTTTAAACGGTGTGAAATTGCTTGTTGAGTCACTTCTAATGTAAGTGCAAGTTCTTGCATTTGGCACGAATCTTCCTCCAATAATGCTTCCAATTCTGTGTCTTCGTACACTTTTGACCTTCCACTACGTTCTTTGTCAAACTAACCGTTTTTAAACTTTTGAAACTACTCACGATAACTTCTCTCACTTAAAGCAGTCTCACCATATGCTTCTACAAGCAATCGATGCGCCTCAGCTGCAGATTTCTTCAACTTAAAGAAGTAAGTCAAAAGTTCCCGCAAATGACGCTTATTCGGCACAAAACTTGACATTTTCGCACGAAAAAAATTATGTGATGCTAATACGGAGTCACTAATACTTCAAGGTTATGTTGTTACCAGATGTCCAAACTTACGATATTACGTTTTACATTTGATAATTTCAACATAACCTTCTGGTGGGGCCATCTTTTGTCAAACGGCGGAAATTTATTTGTACTCCTAACAAAATTTTATGTTAGTAAAAATAAATACATAATTATTATTTGATTAAAATTTGATAAAAATTTATAAAAATACTTAAAGTGTGTTAAGACTTAAAGCTACTCTCTCTCTCTCTCTCTTTCTCTCTCTCTCTCTCTCTCGCTCTCTCCCTCCCTCCCTCTCTCTCTCTCTCTCTCTCGCTCGCTCTCTCTCGCTCTCCCTCTCTCGCTATCCCTCTCTCTCTCTCTCTCTCTCTCTCCCGCTCTCTCTCTCTCGTTCTCCCTCTCTCGCTCTCCCTCTCTCTCTCTCTCTCTCTCTCTCCCGCTCTCTCTCTCTCCCGCTCTCTCTCTCTCTCTCTCTCTCTCTCTCTCTCTCTCTCTCTCTCTCTCTCTCCCTCTTTCCCACCCTCCCTCCCTCTCTCTCTATTTCCCCCTCTCCTTCTTTCTCCTCTCTGCCTCTCCTTCTCCCTATCTCTGTCCGATTATAAAAATAGGGAAAATATAATCTCTCTTTTTCTCATATCATATGGCCCAGAGATTTTGTCTCCTTAGCGGGAGAGCCGGAGCTTTTGTGTTTCGCCTGGAGAATCCGGGCGAAAACCGGAAAGGTGGCAACCGTGGCCAGGACACGGAGTCGTAGTAGGCATGTGAAATATTCTTTTTACATTTATTATACTTTAATAATAGATAAAGCAATTGTACAATGAAAATATAACTAGTTCAATAACGTATATATTAATAGCTGCTGATGAAGCGCTTCTCATCGAAATATATCAAAATTTACGCTTAATACGGTCATATTGGCATACATTAAAATATACTATGAATTAGATAAACAAGGCTCTTATGACGTATAAACTGATAGTGATAATGTCACCGCCGAATATTTTTCCGGACTTATAACGCGTTAATAAGTATGACCAACCATCTACTACGTATATCGCTTCTTTTGCAGTAAAAATATAAATAATGTTTAATTTTATAATGATCATTATCGCACGATGTTTAATTTGAACTTAATATGTTAATATATTCGAAAATTTAATATTTGATACGTATTTTTATTTGTTCTTGCCTTCCCCTCCCGCGCTCTTTAGACCTCCGGGCAAAGCCTAGCATAGAGGTGGCAACCGTGGTCCTGACTATAGGTCTGAGTTGGAGATGTTGCGTGGTGTAAAGCTACATAAATAGATAAAATGCGCGACATGAATTTAAATCGCTATAAATTTAAATAATGGAGAATATAAGCCTATATGACTAAGAATATTCAGCTTATTTGGTCAAGGATTATTCTCTACCATTATAATTCAGATTTTATTTCACGCATTTTATTAATGTAGCTTTCTATCATGTAACATTTCTATCATGTAACATTTCTAATCCAGGACATGGACATCGCATGGTAGATATGTAAAATATTCTTTTTAAATTGATTACACTTTAATAACAGATAAAGCGATTGCACAATAAAAATATAACAAATTCAATAACGTATATATTAATAGCTACTTTTCATCGTTTTTCATCGGAATATATAAAAAATCACGCTTGATACGGTCATATCGGCACACATATTAAAATATACTATGAATTAGATAAACAAGGTTTCTATGATATTGGGTGTGTGAATATGACTCCGCCCTTTTTTGTTAAAATAAAATACATTTGCTTATTTAGAAAATTAAAGAAAAGTTTATTGAAAGTATGCTCCATCTGCAGCTACAACCTTCGCCCATCTTTCAGGTAATTTATATATTCCTTGCCTGAAGAAGTCCTGGTCTTTTGAGCTGATCCAATTATCAAATCAAATTTTGATACTTTCGTATGAAGTGGACCGTTCTCCCGTAAGATCTGACTGCATCGTCCGGAATAAGTAGTAATCTGAAGGAGCTATGTCTGGCGAATATGGCGGATGGAGTAGCACTTCCCAGTCCTGTCCATCTAAATATCTTTTCACGACTTCTGCGGTATGCGGTTTGGCATTAACATGCTAAAGAATTAATTTGCTGTGCCTATTCACCCATTCTGGCCGTTTTTCTTCTATGTCTCGCTTCAAACGCATTAGTTGTCGTCGGTAAACTTCTCCTTTAATAGTTTGGCAACAATCCTCTGTCAATAATGCTTCCAATTCAGCATCTTCAAATTTTTTTGGTGGTTTCCCATGTTCTCTGTCCTCAGTTCCAATGTCCTCATGTTCACACACCCAATATATAAACTGACAGTGATAATGCACACGCCGAATATTTTTCCGGGCTTACAACGTGTTAATAAATATGACCGACCATGTACTACATGTATAGCTTCTTTCATTGTGTAGTTACATCACACACTACAAAAATAGACATAAGTTTCTTATAAATAAAATTTCATTTTCAGGGAACATGTATATACTTTCTCGTAAAGACAAAGTATGGGAATATATGACTATTGTTTCGTATCAAACAATTAATATTATTATTGTTGTATATTGAAATATTTTATGATTTCTGCATATTAATACTAATTGTCTTTTATTATAGAGAACTTCGAAGAAGTGTTGTATATGTATCAAGTAATATAAAGTAAGTGGCAACGTATAGCGTTACGGATTTATGAAAATATTCTCACCGATTTCTTGAAAAGTTTGTTTATTAGAAAATAGAATTAATATATATGGTTGAATTAGACATAAAATATCCTTTCGTTCGACAGAAATCAAATTTTTAGATTATGAAAGAAGTTAAGTGATAGGGATATGTTTAAAATTTTAACATCTTTTAAAAAACTGAAAATGTTATAAAGTACTTTTCAAACCGTTTAAATTTTTATTCGAAAAGTTTTCTTCCATCTCTTATACTTTTGATAATGTATGCAATTTGATAATACTTCGAAAGAAAAATACTGATTTTTTTCAAAAGGATATTTCGCTGCTTAAAAGGTCAATTAGACATTATAAAAAAATTGCATATCCTTTATTTTGTCTAGATTACTATATATTTTAAGCTTATCGGAATTATAGGGAAACATATCCATGTATTTCTTTGGTCCGCAGAACTTTATAAACTTGAACAATTTCAAGAGTTAATGACTCTTGGTATGTGTCTTTGCAAATGCGTAATAAATTATATCTTTATTTAAAGGCAGGTCTGAAAAGTTAAAATTTATAGTTGTAAAATTCTTTTCGAGCTGTCTCATTTATTATTATAATATTATTTCCTTATACCTTCTTTATAGTTTCTTTATAGTTATACCTTCTTTAAGTTTGCCTATTTTTTGAAGACATATAGAGTAATGATTCATTTTTTGTGACTTATATTCTACAAAATATTTGATATATAAAGAGTTAATTTTTTTATTACCTGGGTCAGAGCACTGCATTCTACATATTTTACAGCCTTAAGTTCCTTAGCGAGTTTCTCTCCCTGTTCTGCTGATATTGGTTTCTGTTTGTTTTTTGCGAGCTTCTCTACTGTCGCAACATCATCTCTCAAGTCGATTTGTGTTCCAACAAGTAAAAACGGAGTTCTCTGACAGTGATGTGTTATTTCAGGCACCCACTGCGATAAAGTGCGTTGAGATATAATATAATATCAGCTAACGTTTATATATTTATACATGTAAAAATAATTACAATATATTGTATATTACCTTTTCTTTCACATTTTCGAACGATGACGGTGAAACAACTGAGAAACATACGAGAAACACATCAGTCTGAGGATAGCTTAAAGGACGCAATCTGTCATAATCTTCTTGACCTTAAAAAACAAAAGGCCAATTATTAATATAATTTACATAAATAAATAATATATATGATATTATAAATATTATATAAATAAGTACTATAAATAATGAAATTATACAATGAATTATACAATGTGTTTGATACAACACATATATCTATTCGCGTGCAGATAAAACTCATCGTACAATACTAAGCAGAAAAGTTCTTTACCAATCATTTTTATATACAAACGATAATTATTCAAATATTAATCCAAGAAAATTAACAAATAAATACGTGTAACGTGTACGAAAGTCTTATTCAAGATATTTGGATCTATTAATAATCTTCTAAGTAACGATGAGCGGTGTGTGATGCATTACGTGAAAGCATATAGTTCAGTGGAATGTGGTCAAAAGTTACTTGTTTTAACTTTATCTTTACAAGTGCTACTATACGAGGGTGGCCCGATAAGTACTTAGCCTACAAAAGAAAAACGAAAATTTTGGAAAAGGCGATTTATTTCTCAACATAGTCTCCTTTTAGCTCGATACACTTGACCCAGCGATGCTCCAACTTCTTTAATCCGTCTGAAAAATACGTTTTCTCGAGGTCTGCGAAGTAAGCCTCCGTGGCGGTGATGACCTCCTCATTCGACTCAAATTTCTGCCCGGCGAGTGACTTTTTCAAGTTTGGAAACAAAAAGAAGTCGCACGGGGCCAAATCTGGAGAATACGGTGGATGGGGCAGCAGTTCGTAGCCCAATTCGACCAATTTGACCGTGGCGAGGGCGGAGGTGTGAGCCGGTGCGTTGTCATGGTGGAAGAGCACTTTTTTCTTCGCCAAATGGGGCCGTTTTTTCTGCAATTCGGCGTCGAATCGGCTCAATAATTCGGCATAGTACAGCCCTGTGACCGTTTTGCCCTTCTCCAGGTAGTCGATGTAGATCACACCTTGTGAATCCCAGAAAACGGTGGCCATCACCTTTCCAGCCGATAGGACAGTCTTCGCCTTCTTCGGAGCACGTTCGCTGGGTGAAGTCCACTATTTCGACTGTTCCTGGTCTCTGGTGTGTACCAGTGGATCCATGTTTCGTCGACGGTCACGAAACGATGCAGAAACTCCTTCGGATTGCGCTTAAACAGCGTCAAACACTGCTCTGAAGTGGTCTCACGGTTGCGCTTGTTGTCCGGAGTGAGCAAACGCGGCACCCATCGCGCCGACAGCTTTCTCATGCCCAAAATTTCATGCACGATATGACCCACGCGGTCTTTTGAGATACTGTCTCAGCTATCTCGCGCACCTTCAATCGGCGGTCTGCCAATACGAGATCGTGGATTTTTGTCATGTTATCCTCCGTGGTAGCCGTTTTCGGGGCACCTGGGCGTGGCTCATCAAAAACCGACGTGCGACCACGTTGAAACTCGTTAAACAAATTTTTGACGGTCGCCATCGAAGGAGAAGAATCACCGTACACAGCATCCAAGCGCTCTTTGATTTCGCTGCGCGATTTCCCTTCCAAAAACAAGAATCGAATCACCGACCGATATTGCTCTTTTTCCACTTTTCTAAAATCCGCGGACACGCCCGCTTCCACACGCGGTCAAAACAAAACTACGAGTCCGATTCGGTTGAAATTTCGACAGTAGCCGTCTACGAGAATGTACTACACGATAGTAAATTTCTCTTGCGATAGTGGCGCCATCGGGCGGTGAGGCTAAGTACTTATCGGACCGCCCTCGTATAGTACTATATATATTCACCGTCAAACATTTTCTTTAACCAAGAAAAAATCTTACCTGCTGTATCAAATAATCCTAATGTATAGGGATCACCTCCTATCATCACAGTTACTGCATAGTTGTCAAAGACAGTAGGCACATATTCTGAGGGAAATTTGTTTGTTGTATATGAAATTAAGAGACACGTTTTACCGACAGCTCCATCGCCTACTACAACGCATTTTATTGTTTGCATCTTTATATGATCTGAAACAATATTGAAAGATATACATAAATAAAATAATTTAAGTAATAAAGCATATAGAAATGAAACAAAATATTTTTTAGATAAAAATTTACTATTTACATAATCATGCAGTTTCTATTTATAATCTATATTATGTAATAATTTTGTTATAAATTATGCTCACAAGATCAATATACAAAATGATCTCATTTTAAATACCTATTTATAGCAATATATTATGAGATATATTTAAGATAAAAATATAGTTTATAATTTTAAGAAAATAATAAAATTTCGATTTGAAGATCATCGCTATGATCTTCAATAATATAGCGCTAAGATCGAATAAAAATTAATTTAAAATATTTTTTAATGAAACTATATAATCTTTTTTAACACAAATTAATTTCTTTCGTCATTTTGCACATAAACGTACTAAAATGAGATCATTAACCCTATACGTTATGGTGAAACATTCAGCATCCCACCTTTTTCCGCGCAGTTTTTAATTATTTTAACCAATTTCTTGATATAAAATACAGGTGTTCCTGTTTTTATAGTCTCTTGTATATGTAGGAATGTAAAAAAGAAATAGGCAATTATAAATTTTCATTTGCATAATTGCTATAAATAAACAAATGTTCAAAAGCTGTGCTTTTTATAGGAGAAATGCATTTTCCACTAAACTATTATCAACATCGGAATATCAATCAGACACTTATTTAGAACACCCTAAAGTATTTTTCAGAATTATTTCAGATTTTTTCGCAGCTTCGTTTTTTATTATATCGGGTTGGCAAATAAGTTCGTTCGGTTTTTGTTTCAGTGTAAGTTTCATGCGGATTCGCTTTTCTTTCCTCAGCGCTATCGTGCAAATCGAATACACATTTGAAAGGTTATGTTTCACTGTTTATGCTGTGCTGTATTTGGTTTGACTAACATCAGTATTGTGTGCTGCGCAGCTGTGAATATGGAAATAGATAACGTGCATTATCGTCATATTTTACTCTATTATTTTAAAAAAGGCAAACGAGCTGCGGATGCTCATAAAAAGACATGCCGTGTGTATGGAGATGATGCCTTAACAGAACCCGTATGCCAAAAGTGGTATGGCAATTTCCGTTCTGGAGATTTCGACGTCAATGATGCGCCCAGCTTCGGTCGCCCGACCGAGATTAATTCAAGTGACATTAAGGCTATAATCGAAGTAAATCCATCCCAATCGGTACGAGAGATTGCTACGACATTGAATATATCCCACACAAGCGTATAAAAGCATTTGCGCCAGCTGGGACACGTTTCTCGACTTAATGTTTGGGTGCCGCATCAAATAACCGAAGCTAACTTGACCACACGCATATCCATCTGCGATTTGCTACGGAAACGCCAAGAAAACGATCCATTATTGAAACGAATGGTGACGGGTGACGAAAAACGGGTCGTCTACGATAATATAACGCGTAAAAGACACCGCAAACAACCTCGAAGGCGGGATTGCACCCGAAGAAAATAATGCTCTCCGTATGGTGGGATTTCAAGGGTCTATCATCTATTACGAATTGTTACCGTCAGGTAAAACGATTGATTCAACTGTATATTGTTCTCAATTGACGAAATTGAACCAAGCAATCCGCACAAAACGTCCAGAATTGGCAGATCGCAAGGGTGTCGTCTTCCACCACGACAACGCCAAACCTCATTCGTCATTGACCACTCGGAACAAATTGCTTCAGCTTGGCTGGGATGTTTTGCCTCATTCTCCGTATTCACCGGATCTTGCCCCTTCCGATTATCATTTATTCCGGTCGCTGCAGAACTCTATGAACAGGAAAACCTTCAAGGATGAAGAGGCCGTTAAAAACCACCTGGATTGGTTTTACGCCGATAAGCTCCCAACGTTTTACGAATAATGAAGCGGCATAATGAAGTTAGTGGAAATATGGCTAGAGGTCATCGATAAAGATGGCCAACATATAATTGATAAAAATTTATCTTGTGTATCAAAAAATTGTGTTTTATTCTACTCTAAAAAACCGAACGAACTTATTTGCCAACCCAATAAATTACTAATCTTTGAAAAAAATGGAAAAATTAATATTTTCCACTATAAATCCAAATAAATACTAGGAATACAAATAAGTTTCCGCCGTTTGACAAAAGATGGCCCCACCAGAAGGTTATGTTGAAATTGTCAGATGTAAAACGTAATATCGTAAGTTTGGACATCTGGTAACAACATAACCTTGAAGTATTAATGACTCCGTATCAGTATCACATAATTTTTTTCGTGCGAAAATGTCAAGTTTTGTGCCGAATAAGCGTCATTTGCGGGAACTTTTGATTTACTTCTTTAAGTTGAAGAAATCTGCAGCTGAGGCGCATCGATTGCTTGTAGAAGCATATGGTGAGACTGCTTTAAGTGAGAGAAGTTGTCGTGAGTAGTTTCAAAAGTTTAAAAACGGTTAGTTTGACGTGGAAGACAAAGAACGTAGTGGAAGGTCAAAAATGTACGAAGACACAGAATTGGAAGCATTATTGGAGGAAGATCGTGCCAAACGCAAGAAGAACTTGCACTTACATTAGAAGTGACTCAACAAGCAATTTCACATCGTTTAAGGCAGGATACCACCTTTGCACTTTGAAAAAATTGAAAATTTTTTTGTTCTTAAAGTACTCTTTCAAGTGTATAGAATCGAAATTCATTTATTAGAAAGGTGGCCGAAACCTTTTTCTTGTGTAAAAACCGGTTTGGAACAGAGCGCTCTCGGTGCGTTTCTCGGGCTGCCGAGCGCGCGCACACTGTCTGTCTCATATACAATTTACCGACCACATTACGGGTTTTAGTTCCCATTACCCTTTTAGTTCCAAATAGTGAAATAGTGATAGTAGTAGATATCGCTAGTTAGGATTTTCACTATAATATAACATAGATACTTCTATATTTTATATAATAGTTCATAACGAATTGGTCGTGTAAACATCATTCACGTGTTGCTTGGTTGTGTAACGTCTTTCACGTGTTTCTTTCGAATTTATGCATTGTTCATCATGGGGAAGACAAAAGTAGAGGAGAGAAAAGGAACAAAAGCAGAAAATAGACGTGCCTCGAAACCGAGAAACAGCAAAAAGAAGCCGCAGAATCGATACGTGTTAGAAGGAGAAAGTGAGAGTATCAGTACATCGGCAAAGAAATTGAAACAGAGTAAAAATGAATATCATATCAATGTGGACGCAACTATTGATTATCGTTTAATCGATTTTGTGACTGTTTTTGCAGCAATGTCTGAATTTCTAGTGTGCAAAGTGTGTAAATCTCCCGTAAAGTTTCAAGAAGCAAGTATTCGAGGACTGGGTTCCAAAATTGCAATTCTTTGTGAACAATGCTCACCGAAATATATAAAGTCGTGTTCCGTCATAAATAATCATGCATATGATATAAATCGTCGTATAGTTTTTGTTATGCGATTGCTCGGTGTTGGTGTAAATGGAATTAAAAAATTCTGTTCATTCATGTGTCTACCACATCCAGTATTTCAGTCATTTTATGACAAAATCGTTTCGACTATTTCTATTGCTACCGCAGCCGTACGAGAGGAATCAATGAAGAACGCAGCTGCTAAAGAGAAAGAATTGTCAGTACAGAAGGAACTTACAGAAGGGATAGTAGTTTCAGGCGACGGTACGTGGAAGAAGAGAATCTCGTCTTTATTAGGCATTACGTCATTGATAGGATGGTGCACCGGGAAAGTCATTGATGTTAATGTAAAATCAAAAATATGTAATCAATGCAATTACTGGAAAGGAAAAGAAGGAACGGCAGAATACGAAGAATGGGCTGCGAAGATAGCTGTCAAAATCACGAGGGATCGGCTGGAAAAATGGAGGTTGACGCAATTATTGAAATGTTTCAACGATCAGACGAACTCCATAGTTTGAAATATAGTCACTACATAGGGGATGGAGACAGTAAAACATATAAAGATATTTTACACTCGAAACCATATGAAAATTTGGACGTTAAGAAAAAAGAATGTATCGACCACGTTCAAAAAAGGATGGGAACGCGACTTCGAAATTAAAAAAAAAATGTACGAGGTATTGGTGGCAGAGGCAAGCTAACTGGAAAATTAATTGACGATCTATCACTATATTTTGGTCTAGCAATACGCAGGAATTATGATTCAATTGTAAACATGAAGAAATAAATATGGGCCACGCTTTATCATAAGATTTCTACGGACGACAACCCGCAGCACGATAGATGTTCAGATGGCGAAAATTCCTGGTGCTCATGGAAACAGGCTAAAGCTCGCAACGAACTCGACAATTATCAACACAAACCAGCAATGAAAGATGAAGTTTTCAATGCTGTTAAACCCATTTATGAAGAATTGAGCCGCGATGAACTATTATCTCGGTGCTTGGGTGGGTTTACGCAGAACAGCAACGAGTGCTTCAATTCTGTTCTGTGGGCTCTCGCTCCTAAATCTATGTCCAGTGGCAAAAAAATCGTTGACATTGCTGCTGATATTGCAGTATGTAATTTTAACGATGGGTTACACAGCATTATGGACATTATGCAAACTTTGAACCTGCCTATAAGTCAAAGTTGCTATACATTTTGTGTACAAGCCGATAATTATCGCATTCAGAGAGCGGAAGATTCGATGACTGAAGCTGTTCGAGAGGCTAGAAGAAGTGGTATTTCTGCTTGCAAGCTTACCAATGAAGAGGATATAGATGCTGAAGGAGTATTATATGGTGCAGGCATTGCAGATTGACGGTTAGTTGAAAATATTTACTAGTTATATCTATATAAAACTTTAAACGCGTTTTTCTCGAAACGATGTTTTTGAAATCGGCGTGTCAGATTACTCTTACAATTTTCAGCGGATTGACTTGAAACTTTGCACAATTCTTCCCCGTGGTATAATCTAATGATGTACGTAGGACTTTTGCTGTAGCGTTGTTATTTTTTTTTGGTGCACAATTTTATGAACTTCTTTACCCTAAGAAATTG